TTATGTAAGAAACACAACTACAAGATCAATACAAGAAAGAATTCCTTAACAAGAAATAAATAAACAATTTGAATGTAATAATATGCCTTTTGTTATACGTATCATGGTTACTATAATTTTGATTTGGACCTTAAAATCTTACCTTCAATTTCAATTTCATCAAACGATATCTTAATCATAATAAGATCTAAAAGTATTATGATATCAATTTTACTACAATTCCAATCTTGCTATTTATTTTTTATATAATTTTAAAATTATTTAATATATACTATCAATATTATAATATTTTATTTAAATTTATATTAAAAATAAAAGGGTAAATTATACTCACTTCCCCTAAGATTTCTGATAAATATAAGAACCTCCCCTATAGTTTCAATAATTATAGAAATCTCCTCTACTTTAACTGACAGTATCAATATTTTCTCATTTTTAACTATCGTTCATGCAACTAACAGAAGTTGCTGATGTCATTGAAAATAAATATTGAAATACCTATAATGCCCTCAAGTGTATTGAATCTAAAAGAACCCAATAGTGCTTGGGTCTCTCTCTCTCTCTCTCCATCCTCTGTTTTTGCCTCTGAGCTCTTTAGCACAGATATATACGTATATATATACATACAATAATGGAAGAAGAAGAAACCAAGAAAGTTGAATTTGAAGCTACTCCGGTGGGCGCACTATCTGGAAAAAGTCTAGTCCCAATCCTAAACGAGAAGCTCTGGGCGGAGGTCTAGGAAAGAGAGGCGTGGGGGTAGTGGAGAACGACGACGGCGGCCACCGCGTCCCAGTCAATGGTAAGAAATCCTCCCACAACCTTAAAAGCATGGAAAAGTGATGCAAATAAATGATTTTATCCAACCAAAGTGATTTATGCATTTAGAAATATGAATCATAACTTTCAAAGCAAATTAATGAAAACAAAAAGAAAAAAAACAAAGTACAAAAGAAAAATGTTTGGGAGCACTAAAAGGGATCACTAAAGGGAGTACTAATGATGTGGCAGTGGCAGTGGGCCCTACCCACTTTCTATGCCTTGTTTTTATTTTTTTTCTTATTCACTTCTCCCCAGCAAATGAATTACACCAAGTAAATCTCCTTCCAAGTAAAGGTAATTCAGAAACCTCACACTTATCAATGAACTCATTAAATTCATTCATACCTCTAGAGTACCCAATGGATGGATTTAAAGATGTAAACCAACTAGTCACCTTCAACTTATATCTACTACAAATGATTCTTTTCCACAAAGCATCCTTTTCACTACCAAACCTCCACCACCACTTGACTAGCAAGCATTTATTTACATCCCTCAAGTTTCTAATGCCCAAACCACCTTGATCTACTCTTTTTGACATTTCCTCCCATTTTATCATATGAATTTTCCTTTTCGAATCAGAACCACCCCATAAGAAATTAGCTTGAAGCTTCTCCAATTCTTTAGCAACCCCTTCAGGTATTTTAAACAATGATAAATAAAACACAAGCAAAGCAGAAGTTACTGATTTAACCAGTATTAACCTTCCCGCAAAAGATAGCATCTTCCTCTTCCACCCAGCTAGTTTACTTTTCACTTTATCCACTACTGGTTTCCAAGTAGCTAATCTCCTTGGATTAGCTCCTAGTGGCATCCCTAGATAAGTAAGTGGCAACGATTTAACTTTACAATTTAGGATTGCAGCCATATCATTCATCATCTCTGCAGAAACACCCACACCACATACCACGCTCTTGTGAAAATTTGTCTTCAAACCAGAAATGATTTCAAAGCACCTTAACACCCTTTTCAATTTCCTCACCTTCTCCACCTCTGCTTCACTGAATAAAAGTGAATCATCCGCAAACTGTAAATGAGTTAACATCACCCCCTGACAACCTACTTTTACCCCTTTGATTAGGTTTAACTCACAAGCTCTACTCAACAACATGTGTAGGCCTTCAGCTACTAAATTGAACAGAAAAAGGGATAGGGGGTCACCTTGCCTTAGCCCCCTTTGAGGGCTAAACTCTTCGGTAGGAGAACCATTGACGAGTACTAAGACCCTTGCAGTTGTAACGCACTCTTTTATCCAATTAATCCATTTAGCTCCAAACCCAAACTTGGAGAACATATCAAACAGAAAACCCCAATTAATAGAGTCATATGCTTTCTCAAAATCCAACTTAATGAGCACATCCTTCTT